TATTTATTGAGAGCCTACTGTGTGCCAGGCAGCGTTCTAGGTATTGAGGAGTGCAGCAGTACAAAAAGCATACAAAAGCCCCTGCCCTCATACAGTTTAATTTCTGATGAGAAGAGAGACAACGCAACGAATGTGCAAAATATATACAATCATATATATATTGGGGATTAGTTCCAGGACCCACATGGATACCAAAATCTGCAGATGCCCAAGTCTCTTATATAAAAGAGCATACATAATATTCACATATAAGCTACACATATCTTCCTTTATACTTTAAATCATCTCTAGATTATCTAATACGAAGCAAATCTATGCAAATAGCTGTTATACTATATTTTAAAAAATTATATTATTTTAAAAGTTTAAAAAAATATCTTCCACCCATAGTTGGTTGAATCCATGGATGTGGAACCCACAGATAGAGAGTGCTGACTGTAGTGTGTTAGATGATGATAAGTGCTAGGAGAAAAATATCTCAAGAAAGGGGGATAGGGAGTTTGGGAGGGGTTGCAATTTTAAATAGAGTGATCGGGGAAAATTCACCCAGAAGATTGTACTTGAGCAAAGACCTGAAGGAGGAGGGGAGCAAGCCTTGAGGCAATCTGGGAGAAACATAGGCAAAGGAAATCCCAATTGTAAAGGCCCTGAGATGGGTCACATGCTTGGCAGTTTCTAAGGAAGGTGAGGAGGCTGGTGTGGCTGGCGAGTGAGCAGGAGGGAGAGAGGTCATGGAGAATCCAGACCGTATAATGCCTTGTAGGCCATCATCTGAACTGACTTTTTCTCTCAGTGTGACAAGGAGAATTTTAAATGGAAGAGGGACATGATGTTGCTTAAATTTTAAAATTTTTGTATAGTTTTATTGAGGTATGGTTGGAATATAATAGATTGTGTGTGACTGTGATAATGAACATGAAGATAATGAACAGATCTGTAACTCTCAGAAGTTTCCTCGTGACTATCTATAATCCATTCTTTGCTTCTCATTGGGCGACTACTAATCTGCAGTCTGTCACTATAGATTAGTTAGCATTTTCTAAAATTTTATATAAATGGAATTAGATCAACTAAACAATTTGTCCTTGTGAGTCCCACCAGTGAATTTTTTTTTTTTTTTTTTTCCGAGACAGAGTCTGGCTCTGTCTCCCAGGCTGGAGTGCAGTGGTGTGATCTCGGCTTATTGCAAGCTCTGCCTCCTGGGTTCACGCCATTCTCCTGCCTCAGCCTCCCAAGTAGCTGGGACTACAGGCACCCGCCACCATGCCCGGCTAATTTTTGTTTGTTTGTTTGTTTGTTTTGGTATTTTTAGTAGTCAGGGTTTCACTGTGTTAGCCAGGATGGTCTCGATCTCCTGACCTCGTGGTCTGCCCTCCTCGGCCTCCCAAAGTGCTGGGATTACAGGCGTGAGCCACCGCACCCGGCCATCCGCCCGTGAAATTTCTTAATTGTGGTGGGTCAAATTCAAATTTTATTTTTTTAGTGGTTCTACTTTTGAGAAAATTTTTCTTTCACCTCTCCCAATGGATAGATGTTTATTTTAAGATACATTGCAACCTCTTGTCAACACTTCAAACCTGCCAGTCATTGATTTCTTGAAGGAGTGTAATTTGTTATCTATGCCTTCTAAATGTTCCTCGTATCACCAGCCCTTACTGTGGGTGATACAATGCCAGTACAAAGACAGCTATTCATGGAAATTTGTTCACTGCAGTTGCCAATCATCATGAGTCTTTCTTTGAAAGGAATATTTTTTCACAAAATCAGCATTTCCCTGAATAAGTGGCTTCATCTTCCCTTGTTATGGTCTATGGAAGTCACAGTGAGAGCAACTACTGCTATTACTGGAATTTCAGTCCATACTATGGTCAGTGTCCACAATTTCTGTCACGAAGTGTGCAAGCATTACTTTGAACTACATCCGATACATCTTAGTGGTTTAGGTCATTACTTGCAAATCAGTGAGTCCTGTTTTAGCCAGGAAATCAAGTGTCACTATATCCATGCTCTGGAGAGAGAAATAATGGGCTTTTGGTATGGTGGATACACCCATCAGCCAGTTATTAGTTATTTGCAAATTGTTGGTGACTGTTTTGCCCAAACCTTGCCACCTATTTTGCAATGCCTAGTTGAGCACAGTTCATATCACCTCTTGGCATACATACCCAAAGCATCTAGTGCTGTTGAAATAAATGCAAAGCAAAGTGCAAGCCCGTGAGAGGAATTTGTCACAATGTGTTGGACTCGTATTTGGTCAAATTTATGTGGTGTGATTGACTTGGAAATAATGTTTTCAATTCCTTTTAGTGCATGTGTCAGAACAATTTCCTGTTAAGTAACATTATGTTTGACTTATGTTTTTTTTTTTTTTTTTTGAGACGGAGTCTTGCTCTGTCACCCAGGCTGGAGTGCAGTGGCCGGATCTCAGCTCACTGCAAGCTCCGCCTCCTGGGTTCACGCCATTCTCCTGCCTCAGCCTCCCGAGTAGCTGGGACTACAGGCACCCGCCACCTCGCCCGGCTAGTTTTTTTTTGTATTTTTAGTAGAGACAGGGTTTCACCGTGTTAGCCAGGATGGTCTCGATCTCCTGACCTCGTGATCCGCCCGTCTCGGCCTCCCAAAGTGCTGGGATTACAGGCTTGAGCCACCGCGCCCGGCCTTGACTTATGTTTTTAGTATATTTTAGTATAACTATTCAGGGACAAATTTTTTGATTGAATACATGTGAGAGGCAAATTGTTCAACTCATCCATGAAATCATACAACATACTCTTTTTTGTTTGGCATCTTGCTTTCAGCATAATTATTTGTGAGATTCACCCATTGTGTGAATCAATTGTTCATTCCTTGTTATTGCTGAGTAGAATTCCATTATATGGATATACTGTGATTTGTTTGTGGCTCATCTGTTGGTGCATATTTTAGGTGGTTTGTAGTTTCGGGTTTTCACAGATAATTAAAAGCATATAATTGGGTCCTGCTGTTTCATCCCGTCTGACAATCTCTGCCTTAATTGACTATGTAGTTAGAACATTTATATTTAATATGATTATTGGTATTATTGGGTTTAAATCTGTTATTTGTTTTCTAATTGGCCCAACTGTACTTGTTCTTTCTTCTTTTTCTGGCACAGTCATTGGCTCACTGCAGCCTTGACCCCCTGGAGTCAAGCAGTCCTCCTGCCTTAGTCACCCAAGTAGCTAGGACTATAGGCATATGCCAACATGCCCAGCTAATTTTTTTAATTTTTATTTTCTGTACAGATTTGAGGAAGGAAAGGGGGTATTGGAGGTTTAAGGGGAAAATGTGATTAGTTGTCTTGGAGAGTGAGCAAGCACATTAGTCTGGTAAATGTGCTAAGATTGTCAGGCAGTAATGAGGTCCCACTTGATGTTCGTCACTGTAAATATAAAGATACATCAGCCAGCATGATTCTGGGTTTTTCTTCAGTCACTCTAAGTTCCTGGGTGCAGTTGCAAAATAGATGGAAAGCTTGGTTGTAAAGGGTTGGGATTTCACCAGGACTTTGGTGTCCTTGAGAGGTAGCAACGTTTCACTTGGAGCTAAAATTTAAAGCAGACACTCAGGAGAAATTGGGGATATAGGCAGTTTGCTGATGACATACTGAGTTCGAGGAGGCAAAGTATAAGCTTTTCTCAAAGGTTCAGAGTAGTGGGAAACTGTCAAGAGAGTGGGAGGCTTGGCATTCCATGGTGACTGAGGTAGTTAGGGGTATGGGCATGATTGGATTCCTCCTGATGGCTTCTTAGGGGAAAATGGTTATTTCTAATGACAATCTCTTTCTTGAGATTAATCTCATTCCTTCTGTTAGCCCTACAGAGTCTGACTGTGGCCTTCCCTATAGCTTCTATAACCTACTTCTTTTTCTGTCATTCTCCTCTCCTGTCATCTGCTCTTAATTTCTTTGCTAGTTCTTGAACATCCCAAATTTGTTCTTGTCTCAGTGCCTTTACCTTTACTTTTCTCTCTGCCTCTCAGCTCTACTTTTGTCTGAGTCCTTCATATCATTCAGTTCTCTCATCAGATTTCACTTCCCTAGTTAGCACTCCCACACCAGTCTCTGATTTCCTTTCTCCTTTTCTCTCTCTCCCTCCCTCCTTGCTTTCCTCTCTCTCTCTCTCATCCTCTCTCTCCCTCTCTCCCCTCCCTGTTTCTCCCTCTTTTGTTCTTTCTTCCTCTTCCTTTTCCCACAGCACTGTTCACTCCAGTTATGAGGATAGAGACTGTTCTTTTGTTCCCTAGTGCTTCCCTCCTAAAACACTGCCTAGTGTACAGTAGGTGTTCAATAAATATTTGGATGAATATAAATGGAAAACTTCCCTAATGCCTTCAAAAGATAGGCTGACTTTCAAATAAATTGATACAGACTTTTCAGTAATAGATGTTACATGAAATGGCTTTTCATTACCATCTGGTTTTCTCCAACCAGAAGAAAAAGCTTTAGGCATTAACATGTTGTGGAAAGCCAGTATTATAGAAGAAACCCAGGCCTGTTCTGACATTTATTCTGAAATGAGAATATTACTTAATTCATGGACTAAGCAGTTCTAAAAATAATTTCATAGATTAAGTTAATAGTTTTGTGGGGGTTCTTAGAGAATCTGAGAATACTTTGACTTGTGCTTTTTATTTTGTAAATCAATTTGCAGTGGTCATCCTTCATTAGATACTGTGTAAAACATAGTTGTTGCCCGTAGGGAGCTCCTCATGTTTGCTTGGGAAGCCAAACTAAACACTGGAGAAGCACAGTGGCAATGCAAGATGGAAGTCAAGGCAGTGACAAAAGTTATTCCAAGGTGGAACACAGTGCTTTGTGGAATCTAACTGGTGCCGAGTGTAATTGCTGACCCAGTTCAGTTTAAAGAACTATACTGTGCAGCCCGTGAAATGGTGTCACTCTTTTGTTCCTTAAAAGCCACTCAAGGTCTCTGAGCCCATGGTGTGGCCCTATTGTAACTCACATTTTGTTTTCATTGCAGTTGTCGGACAAGTAACCGCAAGAGCTTGATTGTGACCTCTAGCACATCACCTACACTACCACGGCCACACTCACCACTCCATGGCCACACAGGTGAGTGCATGAAGGTTAAGAAAGGTTGAATGAAAGAGTGGCCACAGATGCCCAGTTTCTTTCCTACTTCTCATATTGTGCAGTTCAGTACATTACATTGTCACTTTACTTGGTTGATTGAAGCATACAGAACTCATGGTTTTGCTTTCTGTGTGAGAATGAGTTAGCCTGCTTTTGACTCTTAATCGTTTCTTACCTTGTTCTGTCAACATTCCTTTCAGTCTTGTACGTATCTTGGGGCCAGGTATGTGTCCTGGGTTTATGGCCTCTGTTTTGGTGTGTTCTGGTGTGTTATGGCTCCATTCGTCTTGGGCCATTTGATGAGGAGTCCATGAATATTTTGTACTACTGTGCCCGAGGATTAGGGCTCACAGAGAGGGTTTTTTGTCTAATGGGACTCCTGTTAACCTTCCTACTCTTAGATTAGGAGATAACAAAAGCAAGAGGAATGTGTGTGTGTGTGTTTGTTTTTAAATAGAAATGAGGTCTCTCTATGTTGTCCAGGCTGATCTTGAAATCCTAGGCTCGAGTGATCCTCCTACCTTGACCTCCAAAGTACTGGGAGTATAGGTGTGAGCCACCGCACGCGGGTTGGAGTATTTGTTTCATAACAATACTGATATTACATATTGGAATTAAAGCAAATGACCTCATGGATTCAGGCTGCTCTATCCCTGGAATATGGGCTCTTCCCAACAGTGTAAGGACTGACTTACGTGACTCTGAAGAATATATAAAAATTATGAGGCAGCCGGGCACAGTGGTTCCCACCCGTAATCCCAGCACTTTGGGAGACTGAGATGGGCCAATTGCTTGAGCTTAGGAGTTTGAGACCAGCCTGGGCAGCATGGCAAAACCCCATCTCTACAAAAAATACACAACTTAGCCAGGCATGGTGGTGTATGCGTGTAGTTCCAGCTACTTGGGAGGCTGAGGTGGGAGGATCGCCTGATCACCTGAGCCCATGGAGGTTGAAATCATACCACTGCATTCCAGCCTGGGCAGCAACAGAATGAGACCCCATCTCAAAAAGAAAAAAAAAAAATAGGAGGCTTGCATTGATTCTGGCACTCTGTCCTTCCCAGGAGAGGGGCAGAAGAAAGACCTCATTGGAGTCAGCCATGTGCTTCTGTGTAGAAGGTATATTCTGGCATCCCAGGGGAACCAGACCAAGGGACTCAGCTTTGCTGAAAGGGCTGCTGCACTTCTGTGCAGTTCATTGCTACATTGTTTATAATGGAAGTTCTAAACCGACAGTTAGTGGAAATTGACAGGCTTAGAACTGTTCAGAGCTTGCTGCCTGGGCATAGAAAGTCATGGTCACTGTTGTCCTATGCGTGGACCTTGTCTGTCTTTGGGCGTTAAAGCAGGATATCAAAGCAGTGAAACGAGTCAGCATCAAGCTGAGTAAGATGAGTTTATTCTCCATGGATTTGTTTCCTTGCTCACAGTTTACTGTCTTTGGAGGGAGAAAGTGAGGGTACATGTGGAGTATTTGAGGGCCCTGAGAGTCTGGTGATTCTGAAACTCAACTTTGTCCTTGGGAGAAGGATCTCACCTTCTTTGGCTCAGATTCTCTTAGCCTAGAAGCCAGCCTTTTACTGTGATGATGGCCCTTTTCCAAGAATCAGTAAATTTCTCAATCACTAGCTGTCACTTTAGAAGATACCACCAAGAGAACAGGGATCCCAGGGAATTGGAGACATACTTGACCTTTAAAGCAAAGCTCTCATTGTGCTTAGGTGCTTTCCTCGAAAAAAAATTGACTGAGATTAGCTGGATTAACTCAAATAGCACATCCTAGATTTTTAGAGAAACTCAGCGTACATCTATCTGATCTGACCTTTTTATCATATAGAAATAAATTTAACATGTCTAGACCTTGTATATAGTTGCACAACTGTAATGTGAGTACTGAGCACTAGTTACTACTGGCTGCTCTTCTCTGAGATGATTATCTCTCTATTTAGATTCCCCACAGTTAGCATTTAGAACTAAATCTTCCCTACTCAAATGGCTTTGATTGAGAACACCACCTGACCTTTTCAGCCTGCCTGGATCTGTAGACTCCAGCTTTGAGTTAATGTGTGTAACATGCTTAGTACTGTTTACAAATGTTAGCATCTGTATTATCTCTTAGCAAATCACTGCAGAAAATCTAGGGGGCAAGAATGGACATAAAAGCCCAATTTGTGACTGTAGGCTATACTTACCCAGCTGTTGAGACAGGCAGCACTGATTGTTCCACGCATATCCCACTTGACATTAGATTGTATCCTCAAATCTTATACATCCTGAAATTTACATCCACAGGATATTCCATGACCCTTTACCATCACTTTTAAGTTTTGAATCTGTTGAATAGTATGAGGCTTGTTAATTTGAAAGTAGGTTCATGGCCGGGCGCGGTGGCTCAAGCCTGTAATCCCAGCACTTTGGGAGGCCGAGACGGGCGGATCACGAGGTCAGGAGATTGAGACCATCCTGGCTAACACAGTGAAACCCCATCTCTACTAAAAAAATACAAAAAACTAGCCGGGCGAGGTGGTGGGCGCCTATAGTCCCAGCTACTCGGGAGGCTGAGGCAGGAGAATGGCGTGAACCCGGGAGGCGGAGCTTGCAGTGAGCTGAGATCCGGCCACTGCACTCCAGCCTGGGCGACAGAGTGAGACTCTGTCTCAAAAAAAAAAAAAAAAAAAAAAAAGAAAGTAGGTTCATTTATTCCATCAGTTCAATTCAGTATTAAATATCTACTACATAAGTAGATTACAGTGTCAGAAATGTCAGTTCAGTAGGTACACACCAAGCCACTCTGGAAATGGAAACTTCCTACTTTTTTTTTTTTTTAATTAATAAACTTTATTTCTTAGAGTAGTTTTAGGTTCACAGCAAAATTGAGGAAGATACTGAGATAAACCATATACCCTCTGCCCTCACCTATGTATAAGCTCCCCATTATCAGGTCCCTACCAGAGTGCTGCATTTGTTACAGTTGATGAGCCTGCACTGACACATCACCCAGGCACTACTAGTTTACATTAAGGTTCACTGTTAGTGCTATACATTTTGTGTGTTTGGGCAACATTATCATGATACCTATTTACCATTATAGTATCATACAGAGTCTTTTCATTGCCTAAAAATTATCTGTGCACTGCCTATTTATTTCTTTCGCCCCTTAACTCCTGGCATCTAGTAATCTTTTTACTGTCTCCACAGTTTTGCCTTTTCCAGAATGTCATACAGTTGGAATCATACAGCAGCCTTTTCAGATTGGCTTCTTTCACTTAGTAATACATACTCAGGTTTCCTCCATGTCTTTTCATGGCTTGATAGCTCATTTCTTTCTAGCACTGAATAATATCCTGTTGTCTGGTTATACCACAGTTTATTTTTATCCACTCACCTACTGAAGGACATCTTGGTTGCTTCTAAAGTTTTGGCAATTGTGAAAAAGCTGCTACAAACATCTGTGTATGGGTTTTTGGGTAGACATTAATTTTTAACTTATTTGGGTAAATAAGGAGCACAATTGTTATATTGAATGGTAACAGTATATTTGATTTTGTAAAAAACAAACAAACAAAAATTCTTCAAGTTGGGCGTGGTGGTTCACACCTGTAATCCCACACTTTGGGAGGCCAAGGCGGGCAGATCACTTAAAGTCAGGAGATCGAGACAAGCCCGGCCATCATGGTGAAACGTTATCTCTACTAAAAATACAAAATTAGCCTGACATGGTGGTGTGCATCTGTAATCCCAGGTACTTGGGAGGCTGAGGCAGGAGAATCACTTGAACCTGGGAGGCAGAGGTTGCAGTGAGCCAAGATTGTGCCACTGCACTCCAACCTGGGCAAAAGAATGAGACCGTGTCTCATAAAAAGAAAAACTCCCAAACTGCCTTCCAAAGGGATGGTACTGTTTTACATTCCCACCAGCAGTAAATGAATAGCTCCTGTTGTGTCATATCCTTGCCAGCATTTGGTGGTGTCAGTGTGTGGATTTGGGTCTTTTTTTTTTTTTTTTTTTTAAAGGCAGGATCTCATGCTGTCATTCAGGCTGGAGTATGGTGGCACAATCACAGCTGAATACAGCCTTGAGCTCTCAGGCTCCCAGATTTTGGCCATTCTAATCTATGTGTAGTGGTATCTCATTTAATTTTCAATTCCTGGTGGAGCACGATGGCTTACACTTGTAATCCCAGCACTTTGGGGAGGCCTAGGCAGGCTTTGCTTTTTTTTGAGAGAGAGAGAGTCTAGCTCTATCACCCAGGCTGGAGTGCAGTGATGCAATCTCAGGTCACTGCAACCTCCACCTCCTGGGTTCAAGCGATTCTCCTGCATCATCCTCCCAAGTAGCTGGGACTACAGGCGTGTGCCACCATGCCCAGCTGATTCTGTATTTTTAGTAGAGATGATGTTTCATGTTGGCCAGGCTGGTCTTGAACTCCTGACCTCAAGTGATCTGCCCGCCTCAGCCTCCCAAAGTGCTGGGATTACAGGCATGAGTCACTGCACCTGGCCTTGCATATAACTTTTGACTGCCCCGAAACTTAACTGCTAATAGCCTTCTGTTGACAGAAGCCTTACTGATAACATAGTTGATTAACACATAATTTGTATGTTTTGTGTATTATATACGATACTCTTATAACAAAATAAGCTAGAGAAAAGAAAATGTTATTAAGAAAATCACTGGAAGAGAAAATATACTTACTATTCATTAATTGGAAGTGGATCATCATAAAGGTCTTCGTCCTCATCATCTTCACATTGAGTAGGCTGAGGACGATTAAGGATTAGTCTTGTTATCTCAGGAGTGGCAGAGGCAGAAGAGGTGGAGGAGGTGGAAACGGATGCAGGAGGGGCAGGCACATTCTGTAACTTTTACTGAAAAAATTTATGTATAAGTGAACCCATACGGTTCAAACCTGTGTTGTTCAAAGGTCCATTGTAATCCAAATCAATATACCACTTTGCCTTATGACAGCAAAATATACC